ATGACAACAACAACAACATCTGCTCAGCCAATTCCTTTTATTAGATTATTGTTGTTAAGTATCATTGAGTTGGTTCCAACTCATAGCGACCCTGTATGGCATTTCTAAGGAGCAGTTGGTGGGTTTGAACCACCAACCTTGTGGCTAGCAGTGCTATGTGTATTAAAATAACTTGCATGGTTTCTCTTTTTCCTGATCAAACCCTAACTGATACATACAGAAGGCATCAATCATTCACACTTCTCAAGAAATAAGCATTTGCTACCTAAAATTCGAGCTGAATTCTTAGGACTTTCTGGTATCATAATATATTAATTGATATATTTTAAATTATTACCCATTTTCCAAGCAGAGCTCTTCTTTCTTCAAATACCTACAATAAGTAAAAATGAATAGAATGATTTCATAAATCATGGTCCAAAATATCCATTGTAAGAAAGACATCATTAATGAATACATATTTAATGTTTTTATTATAAAAAATATAAAATTATACATAAAATGAAAGATGTCATTCCTAAGAAGACACTTTTTTAAAAAAAATAAAACCTGTGTAGAAAAGTATAAGGTTTCCCACTCTCCCCTGTATCTCCAATATTCTACAGAGGGATCTCTAAGTTTCTCCATGTAGAATAATTAATATTAAAGAAGAAGTAATCATTTTTAAGATGAGACATTTTCAAAAAGGAATTGTAAAGAGAGATCGTCTTCAGAATCTGAGAGATGAAAAAAATTAACAAAGAGTAACAAGGAGAAAAGAGGAAAATACAGATCTCTCCTAACATACTTCAGTATCAATGATAATAGGAATGTGAGAATTTTATGAACTAGTAGCTTTGTTTTTATACTTTAATATATACATGTATTGGTGAATATACAGTGTTTGTTTGGAGGAGTAGAAAGTTGTATATATGCACTTTAGATGCTTAGGTGGTACAGTGGTTAAAGTGTTGCTAACCAAAAAGCCAGTGGTTTAAACCCACTAGCTGTTCTACAGGAGAAAAATGAGGCAGTCTGCTTCTGTAAAGATTGACAGCCTTGGAAACCCTATGGAGCAGTTCTACTCTGTCCTATAAGGTTGCTATGAGTCAAAACTAACCTGACAGCAATGGGTTTTTTTTTTATGTGTACCTTTAGGCTTATAACTAAGTGTTTATCTGTATACATTCAATATTGTGTACTATTTGGGATAAGTCATGTCTTATTCATCTTTTCATCTCTAATGTAGAGTATATTACTGTATATTGCCTATCAAAAGCACAAATTTGTTGAGTTGAATGTAGCTGTGAGAATGAATAGCCATATGGATGTATCAGTAAAATGTAAGTGCATCTATACCTTGGGGTGTAGGTGTTTTTCTGAGCATCAGTGCATATGTGTATTTGAATGCGTGAAGAAGAGAAGGTTAATATGAATACGTTTGGCAGAGGAGGGGTAATGGAGAAAGAAAGCAAGTGAGAGTATGAGCATTTGTGAATGTCTCCGTCGCTCTGTGCATACATATTGTCAGTTTTCAAAATTAAAACTGGTGTTGTTCCCTTCTTCTTGGCACCATGTACATTTTCTAGCATTGCAAGAAAGTTCCTACTTGGAGAAGTAGCTTAGATCTATTTTTCCCCTTTTTGTGGACGAGGATGGGGAAATGGTTTTATTCTTCTTTCTAATAGATTACATTTGCCTTCCATTCTGAGACTTTCAGACTCTTGTTTCAAAGGACATGCATACAAAATGGGGATTGAAATAATTGGTTTAACAACAACCCCTGTGTCAGAGAAATATCAGTTTCCTCCTGGCCAGAGAATCTCAGATATCATAGAGAGACACTGGTTGTGCATTTGAGAAGAAGAATCAAAAAGTTAATCCCTCACTAATTCGCTGTCACCTGGGCTACTTGTTGTTGTTGTGAAGTGCTGTCGAGTTGGTTCCAACTCATAACGACCCTGTATAGGGTTTATGAGGAGCAGCTGGTGAGCTTGAACCGCCAACCTTGCAGTTCAAACGGCTTTGCAGTCTGGTGCATTAACTCACAGCGCCACACCAGGACTCCTCCTGGGCTACTAGGCCCTTCAAATAAACAGCAACAGATAAACTAGGAATTTATATATGAAAACAGAATAAAGCCAACTGAATGCAGAAGATTAAAAAATCTGGGTTCAAAAGTTTCCTGATGAGCTCTTTTTCTCTGTCTATCCAAATCCTACCAATCATCCATTGCCAAGTCATCAGCACCACTGTTTTTTTGATGTCCAATGATCTCATTCCTCTAAACTCCTACTTCACATAGTCCATACTCCAACACATAACTTTTATAGTGTTTTTGTCTGTGTCTTGGGCTGGGTTCTCTAGAGAAGCAAAACCAATGAAATTTATGTATGTATAAAAATGTGGCACTGTAGGATCAGGACTGAACTGTGAACCACAGTGTTGGCGATTCAAACCCACCAGCTGCTCCTTGGAAACCCTGTACAAGGTTGCTATGAGTCAGAATCATCTCAACAGCACTTAACAACAACAACAATAAAGAGTTGTTTATATCAAGAAAATGGTACCAAATAGTAGAGTCCCAAAGTCCCAGAGGAAAAAGGGCAAGCTTTTCCTGTGTGTCCATTTTACTGGGAGCAGGCCACAACCCCAAGGAAACATCCTGTCAATTGATTGGCTCTTCATAGCCAATCATCAGAGCATTAACTATACCTACATTAGGTTTCACCATGGAGATAACCGCATCTCAACTGCCAAACCACTGGGAATCTTGGCCCAGATGCAAAGCCTTAACTATCACAGTCTGTTTGTTTTGTTTATAATGTTATCTGATTGTTTTTGTTAATTGTATCTTGCCATATAGATTACAATCACTTTCTCTTCTATGTTCTGTAGAACCAGCGAGAAACAGGTTTCATAGCTGTTATTGCTAGGTGCTATAGAGTCAGTTCCGATTCATAGCAACCCTATATAGGATTTTTGAGGCTGTAAACCTTTGTGGGAACAGAAAATCTTATCTTTCTCCCAGGGAGTGACTAGTGAGTTCGAACTTCTGACCTTGTGTTTTGTAGTCTAGTGTTTATCCTATAGCATTATCATGCTCTAACGTTCCATGGTAGGTCCTCAATAAAACATCTGCTGATAGGAGAGAAAGAAACTCAGAAATCATAGAATTTTTAGCTAAATGGAATACTAAAGATCTTTTGGTTCAATCCCCATACTTTATAGAACATAAGGAAAGGCCCTGGAAGTGTGGTGACTTTGTAGGATAAGCACTGCACTACAAACTACAAGGTCAGTGGTTTGAGCCCATGAGCTGCTCCAAAAGAGAAAGGTGAGGCTTTCTGCTCCTGCAAAGATTTACAGCCCCAGAAACCATGTACAGGGTTGCTATGAGTCAGAACTGACTCAATGGCACTTAACAAGAATAACAAGCAGAAGCCCAAAGAGGAAGTATTTACAGATTTAAAAAAAGAAATCACTGTTCCAGTCAGTCTGTTCAGCTCATCTCTGCTTCGTTCTTCACTAGAACCTTCCCCCAACCTAAGCCCTACATTACTAGACTGCTGCCCTAGCTTTGATCTGACAGTAGACAGAGGAAAAGATTAAGTTCCAATCCAGCTTTCAAAAGGAGGTTGGGAAGCACCATCATTGTGTTCTCTGGAGACAAAGCGGTACTGAACTGAATGGGAGAGGATGGTCAACAAGAAGGTAGTAGAAAAGGGATGAGACTGGGAAGGTTAAAACCATAGTCAAATTAAAATCATAATCCTGAGAGGGCCAAATCTAAACAGGGTCAAAGCATACCCAGTTTTTTCCCAGAAAGAATTGTCTAGAACCAACTGATGGAAAGGTAGTAAAGCAATAGACTGGAAGTCAGGAGACTTCAATCCTGGTTCTGACTCTACCTTTGACTAGAAATATAACTTTGGCAAATCATTGAATTGTTAAGTCCTAGTCAGTCTTAGGAGTCCTAGTGTGGCATTGTGGGATAAACACTGGACTACTAACCACAAGGTCACCAGTTTAAACCCACCAGTCACACCTTGGAAATCCTATACAGGGTCTCTATGAATCGGAACAGAATTGGCAGTACTTAACAACAACAACAACAACATGTCAGACTTAAAGTCTTATATTCTCTAGTTTAGAAAAGTTTTCATCTGCCAAATTTGCAATCAGATTCCTCATCTGAAAGTGCTGGAAAACAACATATCTATTCAAAATGGAAATATTAAAATAGATCTTCTCTTGCAGACTGCTGCAGTCTGTTTATATCACAGTTTACTCAGAGCCTGCTGTTAAGTCAAAATTCTATGGTTGTTATTTTAAATCTGCTGACACTGAAGTCACATATTTCACCATGTGACATCATTAGAGTGTAGGAGTAAGACAACATTTTAGGGAGTCCTGGTGTGGCACTGTAATATAAGCAATGAATTGTCAGCCACAACATGGGTGGTTCAAGCCCACCAGCCACTCCTCGGAAACCTTATACAGGGTTACTATGAGTCAGAACTGAGTTCATGGTACTTAATAACAACAAATTATGATTTAATCCATGGTAATAAGGTACTTGTCTCAGAACACCCATTTAGCATGTACTCCATGTTAAGAGCCCTGGTGGAACTAGGGGTTAAGCACTGGGCTGCTAACCACAATGTCACTGGTTCAAACCCACCAGCTACTCTGTGGAAGAAAGATGAGGCTGTCTCAGAAACCTTCAGAAGTAGTTCTACTCTATGCTCTAGGGGCACTATGAGTCTGAATAGACTCCATCCCAGTGGGTTTTTTTTGGTATTACATGTATGAACCATACTCTGAAAGAAATGTTGATCACTTCCAATTAAAACACTAGATGGCAAAGAAACATTACTTCTCTTGAAATTCATAATGTCTAAGTTATTTAGTAATCTGTTATATGTGCCTATGCTGACGATGCTATATTCTAGTCATTTAAATTTGCATTCCACTTCTTTGTTTACAGCCTGCTGTGCAGTTAAAAACCCTTAACTCTTCATTTAATCTGAGACAATTATGTATTTCTTGTGTTACTACAGGATAGAAAATAGACAAAATTTAAATTAAAAAACTGATCCTTGGTGGCAAATATATTACAAGTGTGGAAAACTCTTTGAAATGATTGTACAGATACCTTCTGGTCAGCTCTAACCTGCTGTTAGGTCCCAAGATCCATAGCTCAGGCAGTGGAAGACTGAAGGAGTTCTGCCAAAAGAACTATTTCTAGTCTGGAGGCAGAACACACCCTACAGAAACTCCCTTTTTTCTCTAAAGCCTTCAACTAATTGATTAAGGCCTATCCACATTATGGAGGGAGTCCTGGTGTGGCACTGTGGGCTAATGCGTCAGACTGCAAAGTCATTTGAACTG